CTCTCATGCAAATGGCATTAGACTGACACACAACTATTGTGCAACGTCGTGAGTTCGGTTCCTGGTACCGGAGAAAAACCAAAAAAAAAAAAAAAACCCAAAAAAAACCAAATGAATAGACATACTTTGGAAACATAAGCTCCTTAAAGGTTCTGTTTTTGTTTTTTGTTTTTGAACCCGCTGTAGCCTGTACTAGGCACACAGTCTATCATTGAGCTATAGCCCCACCTTTCTGCATGATTTTTGTTTACACTTTCCACATCATTAACTGTAGTGACTTTTATTTAATAGGCCTTTAGAATATATTTTGGAATGAAAAGCAAGGGACAGGAAGTTCCTGGGCAAAGTCTACAAAGAACGAGGGGCATCAGAAATCCAACAACCACATGTAGTGGAGAGCACACTGGTTTTATTTTTATTTTTATTTTATTGGCACATTTGAGATATATATCATGATAACATTCATCATGGAGAATTTGAACCGACACACTGGCTTTAAAATGGAAAGGTGGCTGTGGAAAAAGAAAACCAGATCTTTATCTGTCAATATTTCTGGTCTATGTTAACATTCATGAAACAGTTACCAAGACATTTAATATTTCACTCTTTCAACTGGTCATCTTAGTTTATTACCCTGAATTAAAAGCTGCATGTTTCGGGCCCTGTCTAGGTTTGCGATCTTCTCAAATCATTTAATCTTTCCAACAATCTCCGGACATACGGTACTAATACTCTCATACTTAGCTAGGCAGGGAACGCAGGCTCAGAGATGTCAGTGGCCGGTTCAAGGTGGCTCGGTTAATAAGTATCAATGTCGGGATTTTAATTCAAGACCTCTGGCTCCAGGGCCACTGCACCCGGGCCTCCCTGGGTTGCCCAACTCAATTAACAGTCAGCTCCGCCTCTGCAGGACTTGCTACCTAAAACGCAGAAATCCGACTGCGTAGACTCCCAGAACAGCGCACATACTACTTCACCGAGGTCCCCGCGGAGTCGGGAGGCTCTGGCATCTATCACGGAAAGCAGTTTTGCTCACAAATGCCTTGAAATCCCAAGTTTCCTGATCGTTCGAGTAGCACACCCAGGACGAACAGCTAAGAGTGTACGAGAGGCGCTCTGCTAAACTGCAAACCTCTAGACGAAGAGTGACGAAGAGGAAGCTTTGGAAACAATGCCTGCAGGAAGCGGGGGACCAACTTGCTGACAATAGGCACCGGTCAATATCTGGGCGGGGATGCCCGACAGGGGCTCAGCAGTCGCCGTGCAGGCGGCGGTGCCCGGAACACCAGTTCCCGCGGGGCGGGGATCTGCGGGACCAGGACAGCAGGCCGGACCCGCCCCCAGACTCCCTCAGCCCTCAGCCCGGGCCCTGGTTGCCGGTCAGCGCCCGGCCGCTGCGCCGCGTCCCGGTCCGGAGGGCCTCGCTGCCAGCCCGCCCTCTCCGCGGCCGCCCGCTCGCCTGCAGCCCGTAGCCCGCAGCCCGTAGCCCGTAGCCCGCAGCCCGCAGCCTCCCGGCAGAGCTCACCTGCGCGCGTCCGGAATCCCTCTCTTCCTCCCTTCGGAGGCTTCTGGAGCCGACCTGCGGCACCGCCCCCGCCCTCGCTCTGACTCTCGCCCTCCCACCGCCGGAAGTGCTCCGGCCCGGGCCCTTTTCCCCGCCTCCCCGTATGGCGTCACTTCCGCTTGCGGGATCGGCGCGCAGGAAGTCTGGCTCTCGCGAACGCGCCGGGAGCGTCCCCAGGGTCGGGCGCGTGCCTCGTAGATGACAACAAATTTGTCTCGCGGCGGCGTTGGAGGTGTTGCCACAGCCCCTGCCAGCTTCGCTCGCCGTGTCTTGCACTCTCTCTCTCGGCCGACTCGGACCGCCGGAATCTCTCTGGCAGAGGCGGCGGGTACTGCTCAGCGCCTGCTCCCCACCGGGCCTAGCGCGGGCGGCGCGGCGCGGGCGATGGGGTCGCCCTGAGGGACGGCGGCGCCGAGCACAGCATGCTGGGGCCGCCCTGGGCTTAGACCCCGCCGCGGGCTGGGGACCCCGGCCGGGACTCGAGGCCGGAGCCGCCGCCGCCCTCCGCCGCAGCCGCCAGCCGTCACCATGCCCTGGCCGTTCTCGGAGTCCATCAAGAAGAGGGCCTGTCGGTACCTCCTGCAGAGGTATCTAGGCCACTTCCTGCAGGAGAAGCTGAGCCTGGAGCAGCTCAGCCTGGACCTGTATCAGGGCACCGGGTCCCTCGCCCAGGTCCCCCTGGACAAGTGGGTAAGAGCTGCTGGCGTCCGGCCGGGCGGGGTCCGCCCTTCCCGAGGGGGATTCGCAAGGCTGTCAGCGGGGCTGGTGACTGCAGCCCCTCCTTGGGACGTGTTGGGGCCCGAGTATGGCAGGGCTCAGGGATATGTGTTAGTGTTGTTTAATCTGCCCCCCAGGTCACGTGTTCCACAAACTTACCGCTGTGCTGGAGTCTACACGCGTCAGTTAGGAGAATCACCGAGTCAGGCCTCGGGGGCTGTGCAGGGGCTGAAAAGGGCCCAGGGAAAGAGGTGGCCAGCCCTGTCTTTCCGGGTACAGGGATCGCGGGCTTCGGGCCAGACGGACCCTATTTCATGGGATGGCATTTCGGAAAGGTTAAAGATGAAGAGGTCCGCGGAGATGTCAAAATCTCCAGTTATTTATTTTGGGTTGGCTGCTTGCAGACCCTGCGTTTGCTTGGCTTGTCTCAGTGCAGCGTCTGCCGTCTGGAAGAAAGTTAGGTAAAGGCCTCCTTTGCCGGTTTGCCTGGTCTACCTGATTATATGTTTACAAGGGCAGCTTGTACTTCCCAGCCTGTGAATGGTTGTGTGGTGCTAGTAGTGCTAGGGAGTTGTGCGCCTTTGCTTCACGTGGTATCATAAAAGCGGGTGTTGCAAAAGCGCTGAAGCTGTGATTTTCAGGCGCTTTAAAAGCCTGTTTTCTACTTGTAATCCAGAGGCTGAGTTGACTCATGGGTTGCATGTGTATTTCACTTCCCCGCATAGGACTGTATCTGCATCTGTGGATTGAGTGTATTTTGCTAGTCTGTTCCGCTTTGTGTTTGTCAAGAACGAAATGGCAGCCTCCCCACCTCCTGCCCAGTACAAAAGCTTAAATTGTGGTAGCACCTTGTTATGACTCTGACACTTGTTTGTGTGAGGGAATATGAATAAGCATATAATGTACCAGTAAGTAAATGACTTAAACTAGGGAGAGTATAGAGGATCATTTAAAGAGCCCTAGTTGAGTAGCCAGCCCTGCACTATGGTAGGCCAGGGTGCTATGATAAGCTAGTTGATAGTGACCATAGTAATTTATTTGAATTCAGTAAACATTAATGGAGTATACATTCCATGTCATGTGCTGTATTAGGATATTGTATAGGTGTAATTCTTCCCAGAAGCATGGAGTCTGATAGATATTTTTGAATTCAACAACCCAGGATTCTGTGCCTTTGGTACAGCTACGAATAGATGATCTTGAATGATAAGGGTTGAATATTCCTTTTTTTGTGTGTGGTGCTGATGATTAAATTTAGGGCCTTAGACATGCTAGGCAAGCACTGTACTACTGAGCTATATATCCAGTCCTGGACACTCACGAAATGTATTTTGTAGGAGGGGTGACTTCCTGTGTGTTATTCTTTAATGAGTTCACATTAACCTTAAAAGGTAGGCATTTTTATTTTATAGTGGTGTTAAATAATTTGACCCAAGTCACACAGTTGGTGGGTATTTCAGTGACGTTCAAATCTGTTTACTTTCTAAACTTGCTTTCTTCATAACATTCTCCATTAGTCAGCTTTCTTATTGTACTCAACACTTACAATTTAAAGGTGGAGAGATTTAGTTCATGGTTTCAGGAAATTCGGTACGTGGTCAGTAGACTCCAAGGCAGAAACTTCAGTTTGGAAGGGGATGGTGGAGTGAAGCTGAGCAGAAAAGGGTACCGTGCCAGAGAACAACAGGTGAGGGAACCTTTAGAACCCAAGAACATATTTCCATGACCCACCCACACACACCCAAGAGTATACTTTACTAATTTCCTGGACATTTCTTAATCCAGTGAAGTTGACATATCAGAATTGACAGTCACACATGCCATAGTTTAAGATGAAGAGGAAGGCAGTTAATGTGTATTGACCACTTATTTACGTTGAGCATTGTTCTAGTGTGTGTGTGTGTGTGTGGGGGGATTTATTTGATCCTTGTGGGAACTCAGAATTGTTTTATGTTGTTGTTGTTTGTTTTTGTTTTTTGAGACAATGTCACACTTTGTAATTGAGTCTGGCCTTGCATGACTATGTAGCCCAAGTTGATTTTGAAAGCCCAGTAATCCTCCAGCCTTATCTTTCAGAGTACTGGGGTTATAGGTGTGGACCACCACACCCAGCCCCAGAAGTGTTGATATTTGAGTTTTATAGTTTGACTTCAGAATGATTGACAAGATAATTTATGATTACAACTAATTTGAGGATTGTTTTATTCTCATCAGTGTATGAGTTATATCAACTAAAACAAAGCAGAAATATTTGCTGTTGCTGATCTTTTAATTTTAGTGTGCTGTGTTAAGGATTAAGGTAAATCTTCATACAATATGTAGATACTAACTATTCAGTTAGGGTTCCAAATCCATTTGTTCTTAACAGTTGATTCCAATCACTTTCATGACTGAAATAAAAGATAACAAGATTCAAAGGTCCACGGGGTGTGGCAGTGCATGCCTATAATCCTGTAATTCCAGCACTTACAAGCCTGTAATTCCAGCACTCCTATAATCCCAGCACTCCTGTAATCCCAGCACTCAGGAGGCTGAATGAAGTAGGATCATTGCGAGTTTAAGACCAGCCTGGGCTACATAGTGAACTCAAGGCCAGCCTCAACTGCAAAGGGAAACCCTGTCTCAAAAAGATTAAAAAAAAAAAAATTCAAAGATCCTAATGGAAGACTCATATCCCAGACTAAATTACTACAGATTCAATTCTTTATAACTATCAGTTATGCAAAGGATTTTCTTTAAATTGATAGTGATACTCCCTTCTCCCCTGATCTCAGTTACCTTGCTTATTAATTGTAAAGTGCTAAATTTTTATATGTGCAAAATGTAAAAGTTAGGCCTAATCCTCCTCCCAACTCTATTCAAAGATGTTTAGATTGGTTGGGATAGTCTTCATGTTTTCAAACCTTCTGTAACCTTTGTAGATAATGACTTTTTAAAAACAGACTGTTTTTAATGGACATTATTCTGTACAACAAAATCGTGGAACAATGGAAATATTTCCAAATCTAGTTTTAAAAATATTCTCTCCATAGTGCAAGTACCCTCTAAAAAATAATTATTTTTTCACTCATAATTAAAATATTATGCTTACTTTGAAAAAACGGATTAAGTATGTTTTATGTGTTGGAAAATACCTGCTAGGTAACATACACTACTATAGCCATTTGTCATCACATAAGTGGCTGGCATTTTTATAGCTATACCCTGTATAAAAGGAAACTGCTTATCTCTGAACTTGACTTGCAAATACTTGGCCATAGGAGAAACCAGGAAACTAGAAAGTTATTGTCACTTACTGTCTTTACAGGATTTAATGTTTGTCCTGCTGGAGTTTGGTCTTGTTTTGGTCCCATTTCTTTCTATCTTCCTGTTTCTGCCTTTTGGAGTGGGAATGTTTACCCTGTGCCATTGTGTGTTGGCATTGTTTATCATTCTTTTTGATTTTTACAGGTGCTCACAGCTAAGGTTTTGCTTTGAGTCTCAGGAGACTTTGGACTTAGACTTTTCAGCAATACTGGAACTGTTAGGATGTGGCAACTTTTAGAGATGGACTAAATGGCTTTTGCATGAGGAGATGTGTGTGGGTATTTTGGGGACCAGGGGTGGAATGTTATGATTTAGATCTGGATGTCCTCACAAAGCCTCATAGACTTAAAAGTGGGGCTTTTGGAAGGTGACTGGGCTGTGGTGGTGTAGAGCTGAGTGCTGTTAGGACATGTAGTCTGGTCTGCAGAGGCTGGTCAGTGAGTGCATGGCTGGAAATGTTTGTCTTCTTCTCCAACTCCTCCCTTCATGTTCTGCTTTCCAGCTGCCGCGACGTGAGCACGTTTCTTTCTGCCGTGCCCCTCTGCCTTGGAGCCAGGGGACTATGGACTGAAATCTCTACAAAGTGTGAGCCAAAAGAAACCTCTCCTTTAAGTTGCAGGTGTCCAGCATTGTGTCTCAGTGATGAGGAAAGTGACTAAGACAGTGCTGGAATAAAACTTGCTGACCACTTATAGATACTTAAATTAGCCACAAATGTGAGACAGAAAATTTGGGGCATATGGAGAAGAGAATTCCCCCAAATTCAGTTTCTGAGGGGGTTCTGTAATGTTGACAGATCCCCATGTTGCAGAGGCTAAGTTATTGCTTCTGTATACTTTAAAACACTTTGATCTATTTCAGTTGACCAATATATGCTCTGTCTGAGTTACCTTTCTTGTTGCTGAGACAAAATACCCAATACCTACAAGTTAAGGGAGGTAAGATTTATTTAGCCCACAGTTTGTAGAAGTTTCAGTCTGTACATTGGCTGGCTCCCCAGTAGAGTGGCACATGGCAGACAGATGTCATAAAAGAAAAACGGTTCATGACGGGCAGAAGATAGCAAAGCAAGCAAGCAAGAGGACTTAGTAGCTTCTTTCTATTCCTTTTATACTCTTATCTAGGCTACTGGGATTACATGGTGCCAAACCAATCAGTGTATTGAGTTGGTAATCACACATCTTTAATCCCAGCATCACACACCCTAGATTCAGCCGCCCCTGAAAAAGCCCCACCTATGAGTGCATGAGGCTTTGGGGTGGGCATCTAGACACAAGCCGTAACATGCTCATTGCAAAGGAGTTCAAACAGGAAAAAAATATGTAAAGAAATAGACCTTTAAGGGTACAAAATCAACATTAATCAATAGCTTTTCTATACCAATAATGAACTGTCAAAGAAATCAGAAAAGCAGTTCCATTCACATTAGCTTAAACAAAACAAACAAAACTAAAACAGCAAGTAGGGTTCAACCTACCTAAGGAGGTAAAAGGCCTCTACAATGAAAATTACAGAACACTGAAGAAAGAAGTTGAAGAATATAAGAGTGAAAAGATCCCCCCTGTTCATAGGTAAGCAGAATATTGTTAAAATGGCCACGTTACCAGAAGCGATGCGCACAGATCCAGTGTGATTCCCATTAAAGTTCCAGTGACAGCTTTTTGCCA